CGCAATCGGGCGCTGGCGTGACGGCGTCGGCGCCTGTGCCGTGATCTACGGGCCTGGCGCGTCTCCCCTTCACGGGCTGGCTCTCCGTGCGTCCGGGAGCCGCCGCAGGGCAGGAGCGAGGAGGCCACGGTCCCTGCCCTCCGTGGGGCAGCGCAGGGCCGCTTGCCCCCGGGCCTGATGGCGCCCCCGCCCCCCAGGCATGGCCACCTACACGGACAAGCTGTTCAAGTTCCGGCACGGGCGCTGGGAGGACGTCCTGAGCGACGAGGTCAACCGGCGCCGCGACGTGGCCAGCCGCTTCGCCGGGCGCTCCGTGGCCTGCGTGGACCGGACGGTGAGGGGGGGGGCAGGGAAGAGACCGCTGCGCTCGGGCCTCGGGCACCCGCCTTCCCCCGAGCCCGAGCTGGGAGACGGAGGCAGGGCCAGGCCCCCCCGCGTCCCCCGGGCCTCGGCTGTCAGGGGCCCCGTGCCCCCCCGCCATCAGGGCCCTGCCCGGCTGCCAGCCGCGTTGCTCCGAGCTGATAAACGTGGCTGTCGAGGTGATTTATGCTCCTGTCACCTGCTCTTTCTTCTTCCTCCTCCTCCTCCCGCAGTTGTTTTCCAACGATTATCGCTAAATCAGGGCCCAGCTGCTGTGCGGGAACAGCGCCCCGTGGGGAGGGGGCACGGGGGAGGGCAGCACCCCAAAATAGGGGCTAGGGTGGGGGGACGCGTCCCACCGCTGCCCCCAGAGCCTGGCCTCTTCCCCATAGGCCGGGGAGCTGGAGGACCCCTGACCAGGCCAGGGGTGCCGAGGCATTGTGTGGCCCCCAGTGCCACGGCTGGGTCTGCTGAGCGCTGGCACCGGTCCCGCGCCTCGCCCCGAGCAGGACGGGTGCAGCCAGGCTGCGGGCGAGGGTCTCGGTGCTGAGGTCTCGCTCCCCGCAGGGCTCCGGCCGCTACTCCATCTACATCGCCAACTACGCCAACGGCGACGTGGGCCCCCACGCCCTCCTCGAGATGGACGCGGCCGCCAGCGACCCCGAGCGCGGCGTCATCGTGCTGGCCGACGTGGCCGCCGACGCCGGCGTCAACAAGTACACGGGTACCGCGGCCCCTGCCCTGCCCTGCCCGCTGCGCCCGGGGCCTGGCCTGGCGCCTGGTCTCCATGGCAGTAAATTTGTCCCTAATGAGGAGTGTTGTTTCCATGGTGATTGTAGCGATTAGGGTTGGAAGCAGGGACATGGGCACCTGCCAGGCCAATTAGCTCTTGATTAGGGAGACGGAGCCACAGGGCCAGCGGAGCCGGGGGCGAGGGGGGCGGGGGGGAGCAGCACCCGGCAGGGCACCGTGTCCGACTGGGCGCACGGCCCCCTGCCCAACCCAGGGCAGCCCCAGGGCTGCTCCCGGGCATCTGAGCCGGGCCCGAAGGGGGGTGCAGGAGGGGCCGGGCGCTCGGGACTGCCCTCGCCCCACGGCCCTGCTGTCCCCAGGCGGCCGGGGCGTGACGGTGGGCCCGATCCTGAGCGACAGCGCCTCCGACATCTTCTGCGACAACGAGAAGGGCCCCAACTTCCTCTTCCGTAACCAGGGCAACGGCACCTTTGTGGATGTGGCCTCCAGCACCGGTGAGGGGTGGCGCTGGGGACCCCAGGGTCACTCCCACGCCCCTCCATGACGCACCGTGCGGGGGGGCCAGTGATGGCAGGGGTGTGAGGAGAGGGGGCGCAGGGCACCCATCACCAGCCCGCGGCGCGGTCCCCTGGCGAGGAGCCCGGCTGCAGAGGAGGACGTGCCGGTGCGGGGGACGGGGCGCTAGCGACTGGGGTCTGGGTGCCCCGTGCTCTGCAGGGGTGCAGGGCCGGGCTGGAGTGGGGCCCGGCCCGGCCCGTCTCCCGAGCCCTGCCGTGCTGCCCGCAGGCCTGGACGACCCCTACCAGCACGGCCGCGGCGTGGCCCTGGCCGACTTCAACCGCGACAGCAAGGTGGACGTGGTCTACGGCAACTGGAACGGGCCCCACCGCCTCTACCTGCAGACCAGCGCCAGCGGGCGCCCGCGCTTCCGGGTGAGAGCGGGGCCTGGGGCGTGTCCAGCGCAGGGCAAGGGTCCTGGGTCACCGCAGCTCCGGCCCCCCACCCCTTCCTGCTGGTGGCCTGGCCCTGCCCGTCCGTGCTGGAGTCTCTATCCCTGAAGCCGCTCCTGGGACCACCACAGCCTCCTCGCCCCTGACCTGTCCACCTGCGGTGCCTGACCCTTGACCCCTGCCCCCAGGACATCGCCACGCCCAAGTTCTCCATGCCGTCCCCCGTCCGCACCGTCATTGCCGCCGACTTTGACAACGACCAGGAGCTGGAGGTCTTCTTCAACAACATCGCCTACCGCGGCTCCTCCGCCAACCGCCTCTTCCGGTAGGGAGCGGGGGCACGGGGTGGGCGAAGCGCGGCTGGATCCCCTGTCCTGGGAGTGGGGCCGGAGGGGCAGCCCCATGCGTGGCCTGGGACGGGCACCCGCGCCGCGCCCGAGCCCTTTCCTGTGTCACCCCTAGCTATTAGCCGGCCTCTGTCATACCAGCAACAGCCCCGGGGCCGCGCCACTAATTAGCAGCCTCGCAAATCTTCTTCACAGCTCCCGTTAATTGCGGGGATCAATGCCTGGCTCGTTGGCGCTGAGCCGTTTGCTGGGCCCAAGCGCATGGGGCTCAGGGGCTGGACTTGCCCCTCCCCTCCCGCGGGCAAGGGAAGGGTTAAGGCGGTCTGCATCTACACTGCGCCCCCCCATTACCCCCCCATGATGCCTCGTGGGCTCATGGGGCCTGATCCTGTGTTGGGTCTGTAGTTGGGGGCCACCCCCACAGCAGAGCAGGTGCTGGGGGTGTCAGCCCTGGGCACAGCAGGGAAACTGAGGCACCTATCAAGTCGCGCCCCAGCCAGGAGCCTTCCCTAGGGCAGAGAGCTGCTCAGTGCCACCCCCGTGAGCCTGGCCTGACCCCCTGCCCCCCGGCCTTGCAGGGTTGTGCGCAGGGAGCACGCGGACCCCATCGTGGAGGAGCTGAACCCAGGGGATGCCCTGGAGCCCGAGGGCCGCGGCACGGGTGAGTGCTGCTCCCTGCCTGGGGGGGACGGAGCAGCCCCAGGCCTGGTCCCTTGGAGGTGGCTATGGGGCACGTGCCCCTTACCAGTGCCAGCTGGGTCGGAGCAGGGCGTCTGCGCACCGTGGGTCCTGGCGGGGCTGAGCGGGCCGTGTCGTTGCAGGGGGCGCGGTGACAGACTTCGATGGCGACGGGCAGCTGGACCTGATCCTGTCGCACGGCGAGTCCATGGCGCAGCCGCTCTCCGTGTTCAGGGGCACCCAGGTGCGGGCCAAGGGGAGTCCTGGCAGCCCAGACCCCCCTTGCTGCCCCCCGGCTCACCCCACCCCAACCCCTCTGTCCCTTGCAGGGCGCCGGCAACAAGTGGCTGCGGGTGATCCCGCGCACGCGCTTCGGGGCCTTCGCGCGCGGGGCCAAGGTGGTGCTGTTCACGCGGCGCAGCGGTGCCCACCTGCGCATCATCGACGGCGGCTCCGGCTACCTCTGCCAGATGGAGCCCGTGGCACACTTCGGCCTGGGTGAGTCGCGGCTCCCGGCGCAAGAGGAGCACGGCCCCGCGCAGCCCTGCCCAGAGAGGCGCGGCAGCCAGAGAGGCTGGGGGCCATGCTTGCTGCAGGGTGCTGAGCACCCATCACCACCCCCTCCATGCCCCGCAAACCCTCTCCTGCCCAGGCACGGCCCTGGCGCGCGGGGGCAAACCCATCCTGCAAGCAGTGGCTCCCCGCTCCGCCTGCTGCATTGCTCAGCACCTGCTCCCAGCGGGAAGGGGCAGCCCCTGACACCTGCCCAAAGTGGTGGGCTGGGGGGCCCTGAAGCTCCCCCTCTGCCCCAGGGCCGAGCTAATGCCCCCCCCGTGTGCAGGGCAGGATGATCCCAGCAGCCTGGAGGTGACGTGGCCGGATGGCAGGGTCCTGGTGCGTGCCGTGGCCAGCAGTGAGACCAACTCGGTGCTGGAGATCCCCTACCCGCAGGACGCTGCTGACCTGCTCCTGCCCACCCCCCTGGAGGTGAGCGCCGGGCTGGGCTGCACGGCCCCAGGGCAGGCTCCGGGCTGCAGCTGGAGGGACCATGGGGTCGGAGCAGAGCCTTGGGGGCAGAGAAATCAGGGTGCTCGTGTGTGCATGTGCCTGTGGTATCTTCAAGCCTTGCTACTTCTGGGAAATGGGTGCAGCCGGCTCTGACGGGGTGATTGCGTCTTCTCCAACCGAGCCGGTCGGTTCCCACCTTGTCCCGTGCGAGCACAAGCAGCTCGTGCTTCTCTTTGTGGGACGTCCCTGTACTTCGGACGCGTCCCACACCCCCTCACCGCCCATGTGCCAGTCCTCCACTGGCACCAACCCCCAGGGTCCTGGCTGGAGGGTCTTGTCCCTGCGCTCAGCCCCACACTGCACTGGGGCAGGAAGGGGTTTCCCCCCTGCTCAGACTGGTTTGCACTGCGGGGTTTGCCTTCCCCTGCAGCGGGGGCATGGCCAGGCCTGGGCTCTGCAGTGCTTACGACCCCCCAGCAGCCACAGCCCCCCTATACCCCGGGGGCAGAGGCGGGGGGCAATGCCTGGGGCTTTCAGGGACGACAGTGTCGTGCAGCTCCAAGGTCGCACGCGGGGCTTGTCTGGACTGGCTTGAATGGGGCTGATCCTGCCTCGGGCCGGGGACAGGATGTGACCCCGCAGCGCTGGGACTCTGAATCCTAGATTCTGTCACTTCTGTTAAGAAGATGCGGATGGGAACTAGCGATGCTTTTCCTCCTTTACTGGTTGCTGCCGTCCATCGCCGGGTCACCCCAGGTGCTGGCGGCGTGCTGCGCGGTGCCTTGGCTGGGTTCGCATGCGCAGAGCCCCGGGGTGGGGGCTGCCGGACGCAGGCAGGCTCTTGGACGCGGCATCCAGGGTCATCTTGTACTTCTGCCAGTCCAGCAGCCCCCGCCGGGCCCTCGCCAGTGCCCTCAGTCCATCTGGACTGTTTCAGGCAGTGCTTCGTGCTCGGCCTCCAGCAAACCTCCAGCTGCTCACTAAGGCACAGGATCCTGGGCTCCCACAGGCCAGGCCAAGGGTCGCGGTCGCGTCGCACGTGGTTCTTCAGCAGCTGCCTTGGCCCTCGATGCAGGGTTGGTGACCCGTCTGCACCCTGACACTGCACTAATGCTCCTGCTCCATCTTTTGAGGCCTCCGTGGACAGTTTGGTGGCTTTTTTATGGGCACAACTGTAGCACCAGCGCAGACGGGCTTTTACATCATTAGGTTTACTGTCAAGCTCCAGTTCCACGTCCCGTTTTCCGCCCTTGGGGAGCAGACCCCTGGGGCAGGTTGGGTGAGATGTATTGTTAGGTGTGAGCATGCTGATATCCTTCAGCCGTCCCAGAGATCTCCAAATTCCCTCTTTATCTCCCGGTTTTGGCACCTTCTGCAGGGCCTGGACCTCTGAGCGACCAGGCGCAATGCCCCTGGACCTCGCCTGCCAGGCGGGCGGGGTATTTCAGCTGCCTAAAACTGCCCCTTGCCCACACTCTGCTGGAGGCTGTCAGTCCTCACAACGCCCAATGCTGTTCTCCACAGTCGATGGCACTTCTGCCCCCACTTACCACCCCTTCATTAGACCTTCGCATCTGCCAAACCCGCTAGCGTCTGCCTCATCGGGCAGCAAAATGCTGCTGGAGCTGAGCCTACGATAAGATGCAGGATGTTAGCAGGGTCGGGGGTGACGGTAGGTCTTACCAAGGGGTTTGTCTGGGCTGGTTTGGACTGGATGTGGCCCCCAGCTCCCTGCCAGGCCTGGGGCTCTAGGCCCTCTTGTAAGCAATGTTTTTTCTAGAAACAGCAACCTTCAAACGTTTTCTTGGTTTCAGCAAGGCTGCCCCTGCCCTGAGCTAACCCTAACCCTAACCCTAACCCTAACCCCAACCTCCGCCTCTGCTCCCTTTGCAGTGCGGCCAGGGCTTCTCCCAGGACGAGAGCGGGCGCTGCGTAGGTGAGTGGCTGCTGCGGTGCGAGGCAGGGGCTGTGCCAGGCCATGGGCCTGATCCCACCCATGGCACTGTGCTGCGGTGGGGGCAGTGCCGGTTCCCTGGGGGTCACGGGCCGGCCTGGCTGTTCGTGGGGGTCGCAGGGGCCAGGGCATGGCCCTACGGGGCAGCATCCTGGGCCAGGGCGCGGGGGCCTCGACTCAGGCTGGGCTCCCGCTGCAGACACGGACGAGTGCACGGCTTTCCCCTTCGTGTGCCCCCGCGAGAAGCCCGTCTGCATCAACACCTACGGCGGGTACCGGTGCCGCAGCAACCGGCGCTGCGGCCGTGGCTTCGAGCCAAGCGAGGACGGCACGGCCTGCGTGGGTGAGTCGCGGCACGGCAGGAAGATGCCCCAAAGCAAACCCCCTGCCCGGCTCGCTCTCCCGGGCCGGGCAGTGCCACTAACCTCCCGCCCCTCTCTCCCTCTCTCCTCCTGCAGCTCAAGTGGCCTTTCTCGGTGGCTTCCCCTCGGCGGGGACCCAGCTCGGGGCCTGGCGCCCCCCGGACCCCCTCCCCGCGCTCTTGCTGGGCCTCGCTCTCTGCCTTCACGTCTATGCACTTTAACCCCAGGAGCCAGCGCAGCCTCGGCGGTCCGGCCTGTCCCTCCGCCCCATCCCTCTCTCCGGCTATCGCCCGGGGGCGCGGGGCCAGCCCGGGCGCAGCCTGCAGCCTTCCCTCCTTGCATGTTTTCTGAGAAAACAGCCGGGGCCCTGCTGCCCCAGCCCCCCAGGCCCCGCAGGGGAGGCTGCTGCCCCCACGCCACGTGCCTGCTGGTTTGGCCTGTGCCCCGTCTGCTGCCCTGGCAAGTATGGGCGTCCCCCCTCGCCCCTGCCCCCTAGGAGAGGGGCCTCCCAGTTTGTTTTCTAATGTCTCCGGAGTTGGACCCTGCTCAGTCTTCCAGCCCTCCCCGGGATCGACCGCCCAATAAACTCCTGTCTGTTAGCACCCGCCTGCCGCTGCCTGACCTGGGCTGCGGGGGGGGCGGGAGCAGTGCTGCGCCCGAGCTCTCGCCCTCCCTGCTCCGCGAGTCGCATGGCGCGGGCGCAACCGGGAGCCCAAGCGGGGCCGCAGTCCTGGCTCGGCTGGCGCCAGCGGCTCCCTGCGCCCCTGCTCCCCGGCTGGTGCCTGGCATGAAGAGCTGGCTCCGGAGGGGGCAGCAGCACTGCGGGAGTGGGGGAGGCAGGATCGGGGCCGTGCAGCCCAGCCCTGCAGCTCCCCACACAGAGCCCAAGCGGCAAGGGGGGCAATGCACTCAGCACTGCCCCGAGGGCCCCCGTGGCCCAGGCAGCTCGTTGCTTCCCGCAGGCCCTGGAGCTGGATCCTGGACCAGTGCCTCTGGCTCCAGCAGCTGCGGGGAGGGGGCGCAAGGTGGTCTCTGCCGGGCACCTGGGCCATGCCCTGCAGGTCACGTATCCGGCTTGGCCCATGGGACCAGGCCTGGCTGCCTGGGCGTAAAGTCCCTGCCGCGGGCATCGAGCATCCGCCTCCTGCCGCCGGCCCCTTGGCTGTGCCCAGCACCAGCCCGTCTGCCCCAGCGCAGGGCCTGGACCGAGGGCATTGCACCCGCCTCACCCCTGCAACCCTGTGCCAGCCCGGCAAACCCAGCCTGCTCCAGCAGGCAGCTGCCCCCACCCCATGCCTTTCCCCTTCCTTGCTGCTGCCCCTGCCCGCCTTGTGCACAGATGTGGGGCAGAGAAGGGGCATCTGGACCCCCCCATTCCAGCCTGAGGGGCTGGGCCTCCCCAGCCCCCTGAGAGCCCCGGTTCCTACCTGCCCCAGGGCCAGCGACCCCAATACCCCCCTCGGCCCTCCTCGCAGCTGCAGGAGGACGCGGCAGCGGTGGCTGGGAGAAGCAGGAGGTTTATTGTGGCACAAGGTGTGGCGGGGGGTCTCCGCAGGCACGTGCCCCAGCCCGGG